CTTTAGACTCCAATGTAGACCTCCGTAATTCAAGTTCCTGGATTTTTTCTCTCGTTTTATCTACGAGAAGAATATCATCAGCAAAAAGCATACACCAAGGTACATCCTCCTATAGATGTCCAGTAAGACCATCCATAACTAAAGCAAAAAGATATGGGCTTAAAGCCGATCCTTGATGTAATCCAACAGAAATAGGAAAATATTTTGTCAATCCTCCTTCAGTTTGAACACAAGTAACAACTCTAGTATACGTATCTTTAATAACTTGAATATAAGTCATATCAACACCTTTCTTCTCAAGAACTCTCCAAAGGATATCCCTTGGAATCTTATCGTAAGCTTTTTATAAATCAATAAAAATCAAATGTAGATTCTCCTTATTATCTCTGAACTTTTCCATCAAACCTCTCAATAAATGTATATCTTTCATAGTAGACCTGCCCGACGTAAATCCAAATTGATTATGAGAAACCTTTGTGATGCGTCTTAACCTATGTTCAATTACCCTCTCCCATAACTCTGAAGTATGACACATCAACTTAATTCTTCTATAATTTGCACACTCTTGTGCATCCCCTTTATTCTTAAAAATGGGGACCAAAATACTCTTCCTCCACTCCTCAACATCTTTTTAGTTTTTAAAATAATATTAAAGAGTTTAGTAAGCCAAGAAACTCCCAAATCTCCCAAATATTTCCACACTTCAATTGGGATATCATCAGGTCCTACAGACTTTCTACCCTTGGTTTTCTTTAAAGCCTCATCAACTTCTTTTTTACTAATGCGACGGTAAAAATTAGCTATAAATAGTACCAAAAAAATCATAAATAGAGTTTATGCCTCATGCAACTCTCTATTAGCTTGAATCGAGAATGAGGATTAATAAAACCAATAACAAATAGATGGCATAAGACTGGAGGAGGATGGTAGACAAAGACAAAATTACCTCTCTTTCTTTTCATTTACGGGCATACACCTAATCATTGTTTGTCTCGTCAGCATTAGGATGACAATGCATTAGTTCTCTGAAATATACAGGAATGCAACATTGAAGATGCATTGGACGAGGGAGAACCTTCTAGAAGTTCGAAGGAGTCAAAGAAGGCAAATGGGCCAGATCTTAAAGGTTCAACGCTTGCTTTTAAGATAACAAACAAAGTTGAATATAAAACTGTTCTGAAAGGTGACTTCCATACCTTGATATTTGTTACCTCTAATATGTTTTTTTCCCCTTCTAATTTCGTCTTTTATGGTTACACTATTAATTAATCTTGCAGCTCACAGTGCTATTATTTTGAAGGCTGAGAGCATGAGTGACAAAATTGAGTGGGTGAAGAAGATAAGAAACATTACTCAACCCAAGGGAGTTCCTCCCAAAGGTACTCTAGGTTCTCATGTTGGACCTATGAGGCAAAGCCATTCAGATGGGTCACTGGTAAATATTGCACATACCTTCTGAATGCATTAATTACATTGCATTGTTTTCTATGTAGCTTTTCCTATTTTTTTAGAATTTAACTGTAACCTATTAACAGAAAATGCTTTTATTATTTGATAACTTAAAACTTTAATGCTTGCATTTCAAATAGAGCTGCTCAAATATATACTTTTCATTGTAATGTTATATCTGGGGAATTTACATAAATACCATACAATTCTTTTGTATTATATATATGTTTTAGATATATAATGTTTTAGTGTCTTAATTATATCAAAAGCATATGCACGAGAATTTGTGTCACTTTGAAAAGTTAGTATTAGCTGTATTTTTATGTGTTGTTAATGATTGGAGTTCTATAAGAAAATTTTAAAGTTTAGGTGTTAGCTATGTAAATATATAATAATCTTGTAGCATGTGAATCTCCCACTGTATTATTATCTTGGTGTGTTTCTATGTAGTTAAACATGTGATGTATTTTGTGGTTCCGTTTAGTTATATTTTTGAGTTGTTATTGGTTTTTTTTTTAATTTTAATACAAATTAAGTTGTCCCGTTAGTGAAAATTTGAACACTAAATACCATTTATGCATTGCGCTCTTGCTAGTTTGATGTTACAAAAAACTTTTCAAAAGCTAAACCTAAATTGATAGTATGTCTGATTTATAATCTCAGGAAACAATGGTCAGGAAACCTGCTGATCCAGAAGAGGAGCTCCGATGGATGTCTCAAGAGGTCCGTGGTTATGTTGAAGCTGTTTTGAATAGTCTTGCGGCAAATGTCCCAAAGGCAAGTACTTTTTAGTCAGCTACCTCATGAATATGCTTGTGATTGCAAACAATCTTATTATTCCATGGCCAGTGGAACAGGCTGTTGTGCTTTGTCAAGTGGAGAAGGCAAAGGAAGAAATGTTAAACCAATTATATATTTCTGTGAGGTTAGCTTTCGTTTTGCATGCTTTTAATTTATGGAGTACTATGTTGAAGTTATTTTCGTTATCATGGTTCTTTTGAACTCTAGGTTTGAAAAATAGGTTATTTCTTTTCTTTTGAAGCCTGAATGTTTACCATTAACCGTTAACTGTGTCAAAAAAGTTTATTAAATATCAGACTGGAGTGATTTGGAGAGGGATTAGCAAATCAACTCGAACGGCTATCTGACCGATCTTAAACTGGTGATATTATATTTGCGTTGAGAGATATTTTTTTTAATATTTAGGCTGTCTGCTGGAACAGATTGACTCAATAACTAATTTCAGTGGAGCAGATAATGGAAGGCCCTTGGATTCTTTTAAGTTACATTCCTTTTTCCATGAGGCCCATTAAACGGCAAGTTCAGCAGATAATTTGGACAAAATAAAATTATCCTTTTTCAGAAAACTGTTGATAATTTTGGAAATCTAAAGAAAGATATCTATATGGTACAACTTAAAGGTTCTATTGTACAAGAACATGAATATTTAAATTGTAAAGTCATCAATTGTTAGCCCCACACTCATGGATAATGGCATTAGAAGTTTGATGGATTTACGCAGAAGATTCACTTTCACAAATGCCATGTTGATGATTATTTTTATGTTGAAGGCATTAAAAAAAAGTTTCATCTTATTTTTATATATTGATAGCATATATATGGTTGATGCCAATATTGAGAAAATTAATGGTCTTACAAGACAATTTTCATCGGAATTATACATAGAAGGCCTGGGGAAAGTTACATGTATTTTGAACCTATTGCAATGTTAGTACATTTGAAAAGCTGTTGGATATGTTCAATATGATGAAAGCAAAAAACACTTGGCCTGTCATTTATAAGTCACTTTAAGCTCTCAACAGAACAATTACCAAAGACATATGTTGAGAAAGGTAATATTTCTAAAATTCTTTTATGCATCAATAATTGGTTCTTTAATATTGATAACTATTTACACAAGTTCCAATAATTACACATATAGTGGGAGTTGTTAATCATACATGTCTTATCCTAGAAAGGAATATTTTGAAGGTGTAAGGTGTAACCTATGCTGCCTGACATATTCAATTAATTACTCAATGAAGTTTCAAAATGCTAACTTGAAACTATAGGGATATGTTGATCTGGATATGAGAGGAGATCTAAATACACGTAATACTACTGGTAACATCTACATAAGCAACATCTACGTCCGTTGGATGCCATGAATATGGAAAATACTTGCATGATCAACAATAAAAGCTGAATTGATGGTTAACATCAAACCCAATAAATATATGATTTGGTTAAAATACCTATAAAAGAATTGAACTAATTATATGTTGTTTCTTTATTCAGTGATAGTCAGTGTCATTCACATGGCAAAGAATGTTGCCTTTCACTGCCCAAAAAAAACAACTTTTAACTCGAGTACCACTTCATATGCATCTCATTTGAAGATGTCTTAAGAGTCGAACGAAAGTGATGTGGAGCTCTTGTTCTGCGGTCTGCAGAATCATGGAATCCAGTAGAATACGAGATCATAGGAAGTTGTGATTCGGGCTATAGTGCAGCCGGCAGAGCCACCTGAATTTTCGTATTTTTAACATATTTCTTTCCTTTTTGATTTAATTCATATTCTTTTATTTTATATCTATTTATTTCTAATTGGGTTATTTTCTATTAGAAGACTATTTATAGGTGGTGTTTTGCAATTTGAAAGGACTTTTGGCTTGTTTTTGTTTTTTTAGAGATTGTATTATCTGAATTCGACTCTAAGGAGTGTTGTATCATCTTCCTTTTGCAAGTGGTGTTCTCAGAAATAGGCATTGGATTCTCCTCGCCGCTCGTATCTTGCCATTCGACTCACGATTTTCAGCAAGGCAGTTGCCAAACGTCACTTATCTCCCTCCCATCACTACCTATTCTAACATGAAAAGAGAAATTCAATGCAAGTATTTACCATAAATTACAAACAAGACATTCTTGAGACTTCATTGTTCACAGTAGAAATATCTCTTAGTAGAGGTGTACTCATTTGAGTTTGACCAACTTATGTTGAAGTGTGAGCTAGTGAAGCATGAGAACAACATAGCTCAATATCTGAGAGGATAAAAAGATAGTCAGTTGACAACGTGATCCAATTACAGCTTACCCTTCAAATATTACTGGATGTTTATTCTGTAGCTATGAAGATGGAGAGACAACACAACAATATCATGTCCACACTACTCTTTAAACATAGTTCAGCCTCCAGATCAAGCAACAAGAGTGTAAACAGTGGAGCATACGCAATCCCACACTACTCTTTAAACATAGTTTAGCCTCCGGATCAAGCAACAAGAGTGTAAACAGTGGAGCATACGATCTTACCCGACTAGAGAAAAAATCAGTTTAGAGTGGAGGCCTCTGGCACTCTCAAATCCGTCTTAACTAAGAAGTGCTTCAAGTGACATGATTTTGGGCACATTGCATCTGGTTGTTCAAACATAATTGTGATATGTTTCACTGAGTAGGATGCAATGGAGGAGGCAGCTGGTGAAGGCTCTGAGGAGAATGAAGAGAAACACCAATTGCCCACAAATGAGGGAGAGATGCTAGTTATCCGAACATTCAGAATGAGCCCACAAGAGAGCAATAGTGGCTCTATCATAACGTATTTTGTACCCGTTGCACCGTGAAGGGAAAGGTGTGCAATCTCATTATAGATGGAGGCAACTGTGAAAGCATGACATCTACACATATGATGAAGAAATTGGACCTCACTATACAGAAGCATTCCTAACCATATTTTTTGTCATGGTTGAAGAGAAGAAATAAGATCACTATTGACAGGAGATGTCTCATGGAATTTTCTTTAAGAAATAAGTTGTAGAATCAGGTTTTGTGTGATGTTGTGCCTATGGATACATGCCACATCCCTTTGGGTCGATAGTGGAAATATGATAGGGGTACACTTGAAGATGGTTGCAAAAGCACGCTCATTTATTAATGACGGGAGTCATAATGTACTTTATCGTGAAGGAATCATTCGTGATGGGTATTATACTAGTGACAAGAACTCAAGTGGACTGTGCTACATTTCTATAGGCTATGAGGGAGGCATCAGTGAAACCGACCTTGGTGATGCTAGAAGATATTGCCATGGAAGAGATGATACTTGAGACGGTGCGATCCTCACTAAAGGTTTTTTCTGGATTCTCCGATCTTCTATTTTCCCCTAGGTTGCCACTATTGAATGCAATCCAACATGTCATCACTTAAGATAGAAGTGAGAATTTTTGAGCAATTTCTTGAGGCCCTATAAAGTAGGATGGGCTAAATTTCTATTCAGTTCAGCAGTGCACCCACCGATAGATTGTCTAACGAGAGGGGTGAACCTTTGTGTTGGAAATCTCCTTAAGTGCTTTATGGGAAAGAAAATTTGGTAATGGGATCCGGATCTTTTCTGAGAAGAAGAAAAATGAGCTTCTCCTAGCCTGGGATAATGATGCTGAGTGTCTGTTGCACAGTTTGCAAAATTGTGGAATCCCGTGGAAAGTGGGATCATGGAAACTGCAATTTGAGATACAGTGCGGCTGACAGAGCTACATGATTTTTTTTTTTTTTTCAACATATTTCTTTCTTTTTTTTATTTATTTTCTATTTCCTAATTTCCTTTTTTTTTATTTATAATTATGTTATTTCCTATTAGAATACTATTTGTAGGTGATGTTTTGCTATTTGAAAGGATTTTTGACTTGTTTGTGTTTTTAGATATTGTATTCTTTGAATTCTACTCTAAAAGAAGTGTTGTGTTATCTTCCTTTTGTAAGTGTTGTACTCTTATGTTGCTCAAGAAACTGTTGATATGTTCATAAAAGTGGTACCTCTAAAAGCTGAGGTTATAGAGCTTTAGTTAATCTATGATGGATGATATTGATGCATTGTATAAAAAAGTGTTCAAACAATGACCGTTACACAAAGACATCATAAATTTTACAAGATATGAAACAAATTCTCCTTAATTCATACAAATTACTATTTATTACCTTTTTATAAATTTATTACCTGTCATTCATTTATCTAATAAATTCAAGATTCTTATCTACTATCACCAAACATTATCCAAGGAGATGTCTTTAATGTGTTGAAGCATCTTACACCACAAGCAAATGGATATGAGAGGGAGAGAGAGGGGAGGCTAGAGAAGCTTAAGCTTTGAGTCATAATGAGTGAAGCTCCTGCAATAAAAGGAAATAAGAGAGTAAGAAGCTCTCATAGTTGATAAGGGAAGATGATATTAACATCTTTTTTCTCTAAATTTGGCTTTTATTTTTTAGTAGGTGATTGCATTTCCTTTCAATCATTAATATAAAGGAAGTGAAACCTTGAGTCTTATTTATTCATGAAAAAAAAACATAATGATGCAGTCCAGTTTTGATGATTTGGTGAAATATTTGATTTCTCTGCTATCGTGGATATTGATGAATATCAAAACATGTAAACTTAAATGTTTTTTTATTGTGATCATCAGTGTGTTCATTCTTCATCTTTATTTAATTTCACTTGAAATTTTATCACTATCCTAATATTTATGATTGCCAAAAACGATGATATTTATTTCTTCAATATGCTTGTGAACTTTCTAATCAGTGTTTTCATATTGATTAGTGCCCAGAGCACATCTAAGATTGAAGAACTGCTCCAAGAAGACAAGAATGTCAAGCAAAAGAGAGAGAGGTTTCAAAGACAGTCATCCATTCTTTCAAAGCTTACTCGTGCACTTAGCATCCATGACAATCGAGCAGCTGCTGCTTCATGGTCTGATAGTAGCTCAGGAGCAGGTAAGTTGTTCTATTTCTTCCCAATGATATAACTCGTGTATGTTCTACAAACTCTAAAGGGGCCTTTGGGGATCACTTTATTTTTTATTTTGTTTTTAAAAACAAATTTCGTTTATGTGTTTTTTATATGTTTTTATTTTTTATTTCTAAAAATAAATTAGTATATTTTTGAAAGCACTCAAAACAATTTTTAGATATTTCAAGTATTTTTAAAAACATACTTTTAATTTAATAGATAAATATGTTTTGTTTTGAATCAATACATAAACAAAACGATACAAAAAAAAAAAAAAAAAAAAAAAAAAAAAACAGCCCTTAAGCATTGGATTTTATAAATTTTTTAAAGATAATCTCAAAATGCCTCTTCACATGAACATATGAAAAACTAACCTCAATTTTAAAATTCCATTTTTTATTGACTTGTCTCGGCAGTCCCTTTTGAAAGCATCAATATTGCGTTCGCTGTGGTTAAAATCAGTTAACATTAGCCTCAAGTAAATTTGTAATGATACAATGACATCTATTTCATATTTTTTATTGAACTCTTTTACAGAAAGCAGTCCAAGGGCCACAGCCCCCTCCGGTGATGACTGGAGATCCGCATTCGATGCAGCAGCAAATGGGCCATCATCTCTCGAGCCTTCGAGGTCCAACAGCAGAGACAGGCATGATCGGAGATATAGCGATGCAGCAGAAAATGGTGATGCAAGATCAGGTTCCAACTCCGGAAGCCGTCGTACCCCAAACCGTATGGCTCCTCCCCCACCACCTCAGTCCAATTCAATGTATAAATACTAGGCATTGCCTGATAATTTGATTGGGTGTATTCTTGGTGGGTACACCACTCTTCTCTTGCCTGTTTTTTTCCTTTTTCTTCTACATTTGCAACCTGTTCATTTCAGTGGGCATCAATCCTTGTGGATCATACATATATATAGATCATTATAGTTTTCTCCTCTATGAGAAAGTTATATTGTGTGCCCTAAATTTAGCCTTGGCATTTTTGTTAGGTTATGAACTTTAGCTCCATAACATTTTTTTTTCTTCTTGTTGAGATATTGTATGAGATTTATTGTTATATGTATTCCCATTCTTTTTCGCTTCTTTGTGGGGGTTGGGGAGGTGAGCACTAAAGCACAATGTTATAAATAATCTCATTAGTGCATTAATTTCTTACCCATGTCTATAAGTTCTCTCTTATCAGCAACTCCTGTTAAATTTCCTAGGAAGCAATTCAGATCATAATAAATAAGGTCTCGATTGGGAAAAAAAATATTATGTACGGCGTCCGTATATGTGAACAACCATTGAGATTTGAGCGCGCCACTCACAAATATATACAGGGCGTGCTCAATTGTCAACGACTGTTTGAATGTACAGACAACCGCACGTAATATTTATTCGCTCGATTGAGAATGCGACAGGGTGAGGCGGCCTTAATTCAACTTCTTGGGGTTGGTGCTTTAGACAACTTGGTTTGTCTCCATATTATGGTATCAAATTATGAATTTATTAGGTTTTTTAACTACATTTTAGACTAGAGCTCATGTTTGATGTCGTTGCAATTTTGTGAAGGGTTTGGTAGGTAAACTTAGGATGCGTGTTCTGTTCAACATGGAACTAATTATTTTGAAGGCATTTCTCTGGAATTTAAGGAAAATTTAAAGAGAGAAAATTAAATGTTAATGACCAATAAATTGCAACGGTTTGTTTTGTTGAGGAGAATAAAGGAGTGTTTTTTTACATTTTTTTTTTAATTTCTTATTGCTGTTCTTAAATATAACTTTAATTTAGTTTTTTAGTAATCACATTAGAATGAAGTAATATATATATATATATATATATATATATACACTAAAAGCAGAACATTATACTAAAATCATATGATTGAGGAAAAAAACATGTAACAGGTTTGGGAACTTCACAACCACTTATTTTTTCATTAAGTTGGAATTTAATGTGGTTGATCAAGTTTCTAATAATAATAATAATAAGTAACAATGGATTTCTTTAAATTCATATAAACACATCACCATTCTTAAACAAAAGTAGTGGTGCAATGAAAGATCAATGAAAAAATAATCTTCTGAATATTAAAGTCCCTTTAAAAATGATAAACAGTCCCTTTAAAAATGATAAAAAAATCGAGCAATAAGTACAATTTAATAAATCTAATTAATAAGTCCCTTTAAAAATGATAAAAAATCAAACAAGTCGAGCAATAAGTACAATTTAATAAATCTAATTAATAATTTTGAATTTTAAAATCCCTATGTTTAATAAACCTAAAAATTTTATTTAAATATAAATGTCTTCAATTCAATTTAAATTTCTTAAGTTTATGTTAACAAAAAGGTTTGGTTGATTTAAAGAGGAAGTAGCATTAGAAAAGTTTCAGGTCATTCTTACTTCATATTCATGTGGGACTTCCTTTCATGTGTTAGTTTGCCGTATATATGCTCCTAGTTCCATTTGCTCTTGGATGATTTAGGGTGGTCTAGTCCAACTTTTATGAAATTTTCTTACTGCCTGGCTGCGAGCAATCGGATCTATTTTTTGAATACCAAATCACAGGTCTTGAAACTCTTCTTTTGCGTGCAAGTTCTAGTATTTCGAGACTCTCCTCTTAGTTTCTTCCTGCTTCAGAGCTAATTGAACTCACAACTCTTCTCGTGAATCCAACATAATCTGCAGATGTATCTTCTTCGTTGGTAGTTTGTCATTCACCGAGTTCGGCCTCTTCGAAGTTTGATGCAGCAAGTCATGAAAGAACGAAAGAGGTTTAGCCCATTACCATTAAGGGAGTAGTCTTGATTGCCCACAGAATTTATGAAAGTAGTTCGGTCCATTTCCGTTTGGCACCATTTATCTTCTTTCTAAACAAGTTGGCAAAGAGTTTGCTGGCCACTTTTACATGCTCGTTCGTTCTCAGATGGTCAACTAAGGCGAATATAAAGTGAATCCTCTGGCTATGGCTAAAGCCCTTATTCTTCTTTTTTGCCGAACCAAGTGCCATTATTTGTGACAATCATTATAGGTAATATGTACCTACAAAGAATATTAGTTCACATAAAATTACAGTCGACTTCAACTGTGGCATTCTCTAGGCCTTTACTTTTATGCACTTCGAAAAATACTTGATTGGCACCAGGATGAATCTATGATGACCTTTCAATAGAGAAAAAGAACTAAAGAGATCTATTCCCCATATGATGAATGATCGGAGACTCATGATCGGTTATTGTTTGTGTGAGGGTTGTAGTTGCATAAGGACGAATTTTATACATTATTCAGACTTCCTAGAGAAAACTTTTGGCTATTTCTCGAGTATTGACCAGAAATATCCTAACCTAAGAATATGATTAGACGAGATTGTTCCCCAAAAATGATTGTCGTGGCCGCCAAAATGTGCTTCTTTTAGTATATCAACAATCTCACCTTACTTTACACATTGAAGATAAAAAGAATTTGTAGATCTCTGAAATAACTCATCATCTAACAGTAAATATTGTGTCAGCTTGATTTTGAAGCTTTTGGGGTCCTTTACATAAGCAGGAACCACTCCAGTCTACAAGTTTTCAATATGCGGGTCCATCCAACCTAATTCTTGAAACGTTCCATCTTTCGTCATCTTAGGTTCTTCCATAGTTGGCCGATATAATTTTTGTACGAGTCCGCACATAATAAATCAGTGAGCTGATTATGTTCTCATGGGATATGCTCCATCTTGAAATTTTAGAATTTGTTTATTTCATGTCGGACCTTAAGCAGATACTTCATTATCATATCTCCCCAAGCTTCATACTGGCAATTTACCAGTTAATTATGAGTTGCGAATCCAAGCGGACTATTAGGTGCTTTAAGTTTACTTCTCAGGCGAAGCTAAGTCCTACAATGAAGGCTTCATACATGACCCAATTATTAGTGATCCTGAATTCAATCTGAATAAAAATGATTGATGGAGACCCAAATTGGACTTTTGAGTACCATCCCAAGTCCAGCTCCAAGTTGTTGGCATCTTGCATTGGCCACGAATCACATCTTCTACCTTCTACCTTCTACCTTCTACCTTCTAGATTGAACTCTTGGTTTGACATTCAATCTATGTTAATCAATGTCTATGTCAATTGTTGCCATCTCCTCGATTGACAGTGTGAACACATCTCAGTATTCATGGAGGATGTGATCAATTCGTCTCTTCACCCCCACATAAAAAATAGTGCAAATTTAAACATTTTACCTATTACTTATTCGACAACGATTGTTTCTCTTATGACTTCATTACGTTTCATACTCTTCTCTTTTTGCGCCTCAAATTGTGATGTTGCTTCATGAACACTACTTACTGCCCCCCAAAGAAACAGGTATGAGACGATTCTGTCTGTCCTTGAACATTCATCACTTCTCCATTGTATGGGACTTTGACTGCAACCTGATATATTCATACAATGACTTTGAAAGTGTTGAGAAGAAAACAACCAAAAATTGTGTTAAAGGTTACAGGGGCCTCGACTTTAACAAAGTCAATTATAACGGTGAACTATTTCTTTGTTTCTCCCCAAATAGTTGACATTATTATGACTCCCATTGTTTCTTTTTTCTTACAAAAAGGTCATATCGTGGATCAAAAGTGGGGTTCAAGTGTGAGGGTCCCAAATTCATTTTGTCGTAGACACTTTTGAAGAGAATATTAACGAAGTTTCTGGTTTCAATAATAATGTTGCTTATCTAGTAGTTTAAGATCAACATCGTGACCACAATTGCAAAGTTGTAGAAGTTCCCCTTAGCGGGAAGATCTTCGTCTGCGACAATAATAAGTGGCTGACTTATGGACTAGCAACGAGAAGAATTCACTAAGCACACTTTTCTCAAACATGGCCTCTTGAGGCTCAACTGTTAGGGGGTCTGTAGTTCATCTCTGCAAGAATGATTGGGACTATGCCCGCTATATGGATCACCCGAGGTTGAGTCATTCATTGAGGGTTTCCTTTGCTGGTGCATTTCCTTGCCTCTATGCAATCACCCTGGTATGGTGAAATCCTTTAACTTGTCAGCCTTGACAGTTCTTCCATCAAACTATGCAGATATCTACATTCTTCAGTATCGTGACCATGGTGAGGATAGTTTAAGTAACACCTTTGAGGGTCGAATAGATGACCTACAGTTTTCATCAACATTGATTATCGGAAGCATTCCTTGATCTGGATAGTCTCAACAATCTTGGCCATTGGAATGTCCTTGGGTAACTTGTGGATAGGTGGTTATCATGTTTTTTCCACTGTAAAACCGACTTGCTTCATATTATATTGAATTTGCAATTATATTGGACCACTTCACTATTCTTAGAAATGTGTCTGTTCCTTAAATGGAATTGGTCAGCACTTTCTTAAACTATAGTCTCATCACTTGCCTCACTGGGCGACTCCCTTCCCTTAAATTGACCTTATCGAAACTTCTCTTTGGTAGACACGAATCATGTTGCCCTGCACCGAAGTTGATGGTAAGTGAATTGTATTCCTCAATAAATTTATGGTTGTTGGCCAACTCTTAACAACTCGGGTAGGGTTTTTTATCATTGCAAACCAAGTGCATAGTGAAATGGACATTTTTTAAAGCTTTAGCGAGTATCACAAGGGCTATTGTACGTTCAAGATCTCTAATCTCAAACATCACCCTATGAAAACGAGTGATACAAACCCATAATGACTCCCATATCTCTTGGCGACTTCGCAACAAAACTTGCAAACTCTTTTGCATCTTCTGTGTGTTGGCGGACTGTGCTGCAAACGTACGCTTGGAATTCACATATGATGTAATAACTCTAGCATAAGATCACTAAATCACCTGGATGTCGGCCCTTCGAGAGTCATAAAGAATAAACGACAACTCATTACATCATTAATCCTAAGCAAATAGATGTCGATTCAAATAATCCAATATGGTCAAAGAGGTCAGATCTACCTTTGTATAATTTTAATATCGGACCTCAAACCTTTCTTGGGCATCAGCCTCAACAATCTCTTCCTCTTTGGAAAGAGCATTCTCCAGCTATTATGATTAATAAGTTTCATTTTGCCTCCTCCCCCTTTTGTAATTTGAGAGAGCTAAACATGCACTGTTCAAAATGTCAATTTAAATGATGCAATATAGTCTT